AAACTAGCTCTGAAATAGTAGTTCAACCAAATGAAATGATCCGGAATATTCTGAATCCGACAAAAGTCTCGCAAAATAGATCTGAAGAGCAAACTTATATGTAATCTGTTTATGTGTTTACAGTCTAAATGCGAGAAGTATTGGCCGAGTAGTGACGATCCGGACGACGACGACATGGACAGAGGGGACGACAGCACCGGCAGCAACACCAGGAGCTCGAAAAAGGCCATACCTAGCATGCAGTTCGGTGACATCGCCATTGAATTAGTATCGGAAGAAGCCATTGAAAGCGAATTCATAATACGAGAGCTAAAGCTCATAAAAGTCAGTATTCAATGAATTGTCGACAAACTTGTCGCTCTCACAGAGAAAACTAGCAAATAATAGCTAAACACATGGAAACACATTGATTTAACAACATATCAAATGATTTGTCTCATGTTATTAAAGGGCGATTCGCATCATTCGCTAACGCAATACCATTTCATACAATGGCCTGATTTCGGGTGCCCTCAGAATCCCTATTCGCTCATCCATTTGATTGAATTTTCAGGTTTTTTCAATTGTGCACAACATTTTTTGCTTATTAATACAATGAGGTATTAATACAAAACTTCCATTAAATAAGTCAATTGTGTAGCTTATGAATAGTGAACATCATAATACATAGAGTACCCATACCTGCAAATGCCCTACATTTGTACTTTAAATTCACTATAACACACTCTCTCTCTCTCCCTTTCCCTCCTCCCATATCTCGGGCTCACACCTAAAAATAGGCAACAATTCTCCGAAAATATAATTATAAGAAAAACATGTTTTTTGATTATTATGTGTGAATACATTACAGACAAAAATCTAGCCTAACGTTCACAACGACTCCTTTAACTTGTAATGCATTTTGAAAGCAATTATTATTTAATAGCATTTCATAAATAATTATGTTTTAAAAATCAATTTTTTGTTCATTTAATTAAATAAAAGCAAACCCAATATTAATGTTATATATATTTTAAAGTTCTCCCGGTAGTTGTGATTCATTAAAATAATAAGTAAAATACCGTTAGTTTTATGTATAATATATCATTGATTCGTGAGATTGTATATCCATTGCATGGCATACCTGTGCCGCGCATATGACTACTAATACATGAAGTCAAACGTACGTCACCTGAGATACAA